ACACAAAAAGCCATCTCCATCTGCCTGGTCTTGTCTGTCTCTGTCTGTATATCTGTCTGTCTGTCGTGCCAATAATCCAGGGATGTAGATTTCCATCAGTGCAAGGCTCACAAACTTGATATGATTAGAAGCTGATCTCCAAAGTGGGCAGAGCCCAGATCCACTTGGAGACAGGGTTTCAGAAGTTATAATATATGAAATGAACATTATTTGGGGGGGAAGTGAGCTGCATAAGCCATGGTGATTGTGATTGGTCACATGAGGTTGTCTGGTTGCATTTTTGCACCCTAGAGTAGCCTATACTTGTTTTAAACACATGCAAGAGTCCCCTGGAAACCTCTGAGCCCAGGTGGGGTTTTTTCCCCTTTGATATCAACACTCCAAACATTGGAAAGGGGAAAGGAAGACATGGTGACAGTGGGACACCCTATGTTTTCTTTGAGAAATTGTGAGTCCAGTGCCTTGCCTTCTGACTTCCAGTGATCTAGTGCTGACAGCAATGATTGTGTTACTGGTAGCATTTGGATTAGAAGACTTGAGATCACTGAGGAAGCACTCAAAATGCATCTGGCCAACCCAGTGTGCTTTATTTTGAATCAATATTTCATCTCCTTTGCACTCTGTTCTAGAACAACTCTGCTAAGAGGACAGAACTTTAAGCAGAGTCTCATCCATGGACTCTTACAAGAAATTTAAATAATTGGAGGACTATATTTCATGTGGATATTTTATATAAGTTTATTTGTGTAACAATATTTACCCTTGAACAATTTTTCTATAGCAATTAAATTGTTTTGTGTTTGCCCTGCAGGGAGTAAAGAGTATGCTGTGTCTGATTCTTTTTTTTTAAACTTTGGTATTTATGCCCTTCCTGGAGTGGGCATAGAATGATTTCTTCCTATTGATTTCAGTGAGAAATTTGGGGTTAGAAAAGAAAGGTGACCAGGGAAGAAAATTGTTGTTCTTCATTTTTGTCTTTTAAAACTCCAGCAGGGCCTTGGTTATGGCATAAACTCCAATATAAACCTTTTCTGCAGTAAATAATAGAATTGCTCTTCTCTGGGGAATAGAGAGGTTCAAAGATATACAAGTTTGGAGACATTTTTTGTTTCTATTTCAACTTCTCTGTGCATGGGAGATGGAGAATGGAGATTTTGTGTTATAGCTATTCTTAAATAATTAAAAATCTCATCCATCTTCTACAGAACACCCAGTAACCTTTCAGTAGATGTTCATTTGCCTTCTATTTTGCCCCTTTTAGCAAGTCTAATTTCATATCTTTGCTCAAACAGAAAGAAACATAGCTTCACATCAAGCACAGCAGTGCATTTTGACATTGGAGACGGGAAGTTTTAAGTACTCCAGCTGGCTGGCTCTCACACCAGAGTGTGAAGATGTCTTCCCTCAAGGAACACACAGCTAGATAGCCAGATACTCATTGCAATGCAGTTTTCATTCCCAAGAAAAGAAAGAGTGAGATTGGGGGAGGGGGATCCTGAGGGTCATCTGTCCCAGCCCACATGCTTGGTTCCTATTTCTGTTGATTATGGATTTTATTTGATAGGGAAGCAGTCTCATTTCTGACCCCCATGAGTCTCACAAGGTAAGCCAGATGGTGGGCAGTTTTCTGGGTGCAGAATGGAAGTAGGCATAGAATCATAGATAAACAGAATTCTGGGTTCCACAATAAAACATCTGCCTGATCATTTTGTGAATTTGGAATCTAAGAGATCTAAAAGTGAAAATGAGAAAGAATCACAACCATCTTGCCTGATATTGTATGAATCTATGACAAGTCTGTAAATTTTTTGTGGTCAGTTCTGACCTCAATAGGGTGTTCAACTCTTTCAAGGTGACACGAATAGTGAATAGCTGTTTTGATTATGTAAAAAAAATTGTTTCAAGTGTAGAATTCTGTTTGGATAGAAGGAATTACCTGAAAAAGTCCTAGTCACTGCAGTCCAGCTACTGCAGCAATATTTCTGGTGTATTAGAGATGCAAGTCATGTACAGATTCTGAAGTTTTTGCTGCAAGGAGGAAGAATCTCAGATCCTTTTGCATCTGTAGTGCCCAAAGCTGCATAGTTATGGTCTTCTAAAGCAAATGCTGTCTTAATTTCCACCCTCTGCAAAATGAAATTTGCCAAAATAAAGAGGTAATTAGCAATTAATGAACTTGAACAGCCATTTGAAGAGAAGTAGATTAATTAAATGGCTCACCTCTCTCAATGCCTCTTCATTGATATATTTCACTAGATCTGGGACATTCACACTTGAAAGAATGTTGTATCAAATTTGGTGATGATTAGACATATATGAAATTGTTCTGATTTATGGTGCAGAATCCTTTTGAGATGCTTTACGTTTTTGCACGATAATATTATTTTGCCTTTTCTTCATTCTTGGTTGAATTCCAGAAATGTATTGAACCATTGTGGAAAAGGGTGGGCCTTTAATCTAAGCAAAACTCCTATTCTTTAAACTTGTATCAGAATTTCAGTCAATATGCCAATGATGGTATAATTCAGTGGGCTGAGTAGCAATGATTCAGTAAATAAAACATTGCAGTGAACAACAGTAATTTAATTTCTCACAGTTGTTGTAAGAGTGATTGAAAACAGAATAAAACAACCTCCTCAGTGCTCAACTAAAAGGCGTTAATATTTGAAATAGAATTGCAGAAAATGATGTGAAAATGGTATAATAAAATCTTCCTTTTATGGACTCAATTAAATGCAATGGATAAAATTTCAATCTGAATTTTTGCCGCCCACAACCCCACCTCCCATAATAGACAAGTATGCTGAATCTGAATCTGGAAAAGAGTGTTAAATTTAGTTTGATTTTTACAACATATGTGACAATGCTTATTTTTTTCCCAATATCGTTGTAACTTTGAACTGTTGCTAAATGAATAGTTGAAAGCTAAGGACTACCTGCATAGTTTTACAATCTATCAAAAGTGCTAGAATAATAGACAAATAGATAAATAACAGAGTTGGAAGTGACTTTGGAGGTGTTCTAATCCAACCCCTGCTCAAACAAGAAACCCTAACCATTTCAGACAAATGGTTGTCCAATCTCTTAGATTCATAATGCAATGATGCACTTTCAGATTTGATGGATATTCCAGAATAATAGACAACCTTCCTCCACTTAGCCCATTAAATTAAATTCTCTAATGCAGTGTTTCCCAACCTTAGTCATTTCAACTGTCTTCCTGACAGTTAGAGCAATTAACCAGTGGAACAACCTCCCTCCAGAAGCGGTGGATGCTCCAACACTGGAAGTTTTTAAGAAGAGACTAGACAGCCATTTGTCTGAAATGGTATAGGGTGCCTGAGCAGGAGGTTGGACTAGATGACCTCCAAGTTCCCTTCCAACATGATGATGATGATGATGATGATGATGATGATGATGATGATGATGATGATTGGACGTCAACTCCCAGAATGCTGGCTGGGTTATTCTGGACAGTGAGGTCCACACATCTTAAAATGGCTAAGACTAGGAAACACTGTTCTAATTGACCAGAATCTGAAAATTCCCGAGAGACAGGATTGGAACTGTTGTTATAATTGAAAGGGGAACTCGATTTAAATATAGCTGTGGTTGCCCTCAAGGGTCATCAATGAATGCTGTCATGGACATTTCAAAAATCCACCAAAGCTTCATGTTCTTTATAAATAACATTTCCATTCACAGAAACCTCTTCCTGTCGCTGGACCTTTATCTGGACCACCGACATATCCTACTGTCTTTGTTGTAGATTGTGAATTCTCATGGATGTCATGGAGACAGCAATCCAATTAAATCACTTCCCCTAGTGGGGAAGGCCTAGTGCTGGCATATTAAGGCAACTTTTTATACTGGTCTTTTTCAGCCTTTGTCTTCCAATGCCATTGGTCTTTGCAAAGAACATTTTTAGATTTTTATAATGACAAAAAGTTACGGTTCCTAGAATGGAACATTTTTCTTCTAATAGTTCTGAAGAGGATTTGGTGGTCTTCCAGAATTTAATATTTTAAATTGAAAGTGGTTTGTAATGTTCTGGATGAAGTGGGAGTTTTGCACATCTCTAATTTTAAATAAAGTCTACTCCCTTGGGATCTGCGCTCAGACTTTCACTCTGTCTGTTTTTACAAGAACAATTAGGGCTTATCTCCTCAGTTAGGTTTTTAAATGTCAATGGTTTTGATATTTGCAAAGTTTAAGATGATTTAAATTACTTTGTTTCTAACTTATTAAAAATATCTTGGCATTTTTGTAATGTTCTACCAAGGGAAAGGAAAGATATAAATAATTAATTTTAACATATTCCCTCCTACAGAGTGCCTCAAAGGATATCTTGTTTTGGCAAATTGATATCTGAGAAAAGCAATATACATTTTACAAAAAAAACCCATATAAATATTATTTTTGAATGATCATAAGCAGAAACAACCGTGGGAAGAACGCAGCCAGACTGAAAACAATTTTGAGAAATTTTTGTTGATTTTCAAAATAATTTGTCCAGAAACCAAGTTATCAGCCATAATGTCTGATACTGAATCTAATACTAATTTAATTATTGGAAGCCTCTTCCATAAAACTATAACTGAAAAACAGGCTGTATTTCCCTATACCATCTTGCCTATTGAAGACTAGAAAGCAGTGCCCAACTAATCTTAGTTGATTTCAAAAAAAGCTACATAGGGTGAGAAACCATCAGGAAATCTCAGGACTGTGGGATAAATTGAGAAATTACTTTTTTAAAAAGAGTTTGCATTTTGCTAAGCAGACATCAGGAATGGTGCATGTAGTTACTAGACGTTGCACTTGAATTGAGGGGTCTTAGTACTGGAAAGATCTGGAGGTATAGAAAACTATTTGCTAGATTATGGCATCTGAACTGAGATATTGTCCTACCACAGTTTTGACTTTTCGTAGAGCCTATGTGGCTATCTTTGTTTCTAGAAAATTTGGAAATCCAAGATTAAGAGAGATAATCAGCAAAGAAAGTTTTAGAAAGCAACCATCCTATTTAGAATTCTTGTAAGATAATATGGAATGGAAGTAGTTTCTCCTTCAGCCACCATTGGACATCATGTTTTCTTTTTTTGCCTTTCCAGTGCATTATCAGAAGATCATTCACCGAGACATCAAACCATCAAACTTGCTCTTGGGGGACGATGAACATGTCAAAATTGCTGATTTTGGAGTTAGCAATCAGTTTGAAGGCAGTGATGCCCAGCTCTCCAGCACTGCTGGGACCCCAGCCTTCATGGCCCCCGAAGCTATTTCAGATTCTGGAAAGAGCTTCAGCGGAAAGGTAGAATCCTTGTTTTTCTATATGGCTTTCACATGCATATTCAATTGGAGGGAGTATAATTATTATTAATTATATTTATTTGTCATCCATCTCATTTCAAGGCGACTGTAGGCAGCTTGCAGCATAAAAACATTAAAATCATCAGAAATAAATATTACTAACCTAATAACAATATATTCTTCATTCTACTGTTCACCCTACACCAGAGATGTCCAACCTCAGTGAATTTAAGACTTATGGACAACACCAAAAATTCCCCAGCCACTATGACTGGCTGGGAAATTCTAGGATAGGGGTAGGCAACCTTGGCTCTTTTATGACTCGTGGACATCAACTCTCAGAATTCCTGAGCCAGCATGGCTGGCTCAGGAATTCTGGGAGTTGAAGTCCACGAGTCATAAAAGAGCCAAGGTTGCCTACCCCTGTTCCAGGAGTTGAAATCCACAGATCTTAAAGTCACTAAGGTTGGGCACTCTACTCTACACTATTATTTATATAAGACCTCATTTTTCTTGATTTTGATGGGAAAGTTTTGAATGTTTCAGAAGCTGTATAAACATATCCACCTTCTATGTTCAGTATCAGACCTCCAAATCAGTAGCTTTATTTCCGATGTTCAGCTTGTGAGGACCAATATTTATCCAGCCAAAAATGGCATTATCCACATGTAAGAAGGTGGTACCATCATGTCTCAGGGAAACTCCAAAAGTACAAAGAAACAAACTAACAAAAACAAACGATCTTTAGAAAATATATACCCAAGAGAGGAAAAATCCTCAAACCAGCATACAGTACCAGGCCATGAAAAATAATGAGAAGTAAAAAATGTTAAAACGTAGGAAAGAAGTGAATACATTAATTAAATGTTTTTTTTTCTTTCAGGCTCTAGATGTCTGGGCAATGGGTATTACTCTCTTTTGTTTTGTATATGGGAAGGTAAGGAATCTGTAAATGGGACTTTTTTTTTTTGTAGGGGGGTGTTAGAGTTAAATCATCTGTTCTAGGGCTCTCCACTTCCCCTTTCACCCAATGAGGCATACTAAAAGTTGTATCAATATATTGGATTGAAGCACCTTGTTAAGCATTGCTTAGCCTTCCCAGGATGATATTTGGAAACTAGCTTTCTTGTAAGGGTTATGCATTCCCATAAGTTAGAATGTTAGATAATTGTTTCCAATATGCATGCATTGTTTTGTTCTACATTATATTGTAATGTAGATTATTTTCTACAATACAGCTAGAAATTAGTTGTAGTACAGGAAGGGGGGGAGGGGAAGGGAAGGGAAGGGAAGGGAGATTTTCGATGCTCCCTGCAAGATTCCCAAAGAAATTCAATGGGAAAGCTGGCAGGAAATCAGAAGTTGCTCCTGTTCCCACTGCTTTTTTGCCCACCCTTGGCCATTTTGCATTTCTGTTTAAGTAAAGAAATATCTCTGAAACAATGACTCAATTATTGGATTGTTCAATAATGCATAAATATATATAATAAATATAATTGGAAGAGCTAATGATTTGGGTAAGACCCTACACACACACACACACACACACACAGAGAGAGAGAGAGAGAGAGAGAGAGAGAGAGAGAGAGAGAGAGAGAGAGAGAGAGAGAGAGAGAGAGAGAGAGAGAAACATAATATATAATTCACAGATCATTAACTGTTTTAACTGAAAAGCGGATTGCTTCCATTACAGTATAAGTGAAAAATAAAAATAATATAGCTAACCACCCCCTTTAATATGACTATGAGTGCATAAGAATATTGATATACGAGTTCAAATATCACAACAATCAGTCCTATAAAAAGCTGCTTAGGGCCTAAGCCATAACTGTTCCTGCCAGTGTAGGGTTATCTATAGGCCAAAAAGAATGGGAAAATGGTTTGTTTTTCAGTGTCCCTTCATTGACGAATTCATCCTGGCGCTTCACAACAAGATCAAAAACAAGCCCGTTGAGTTTCCAGAAGAGTAAGTAGACTTGTAGAATTGACTACTGCAATCAGAGTTCCTCAGCCGGAGTCATTTGAACATCTAGTCTTGCCCATTCCAAACAGGTGATAATCATGCCAGTAAACAGCAAGTATGCCAGTCTCTTTTCAGTTTGGGTAACATCTGGAACAGCAATGGATGAAAGCAGGGACTGAACCCATGGAAAATGGGCTGAGGGGGTATCCCACAGATAGACTGCTGAAGATCAAGGGAGTTGTAATCCCAATAGATAGAGGACATCACCCTAATAGTCCTCGGTTAGTAGCTCCATTAACAGAGATTTACTTTAATTACACCTATCCCATTAATAACCTTCTTTCCTTTGTTTTCTTATCTCTGCTTTCTCCAGCCAGTTTACATATCATAGAAGCCTCATTTCCCACATTGTATTAGATATGCTGTATAATTAGTTATACTGGTATTTAAGGAGTATTTTCCCAGTTATTCCCATATTGTCCAATGACAGCCTGGAAGGATATTTCATAAAGCTCTCTCTTTTTGAAGATGAAATCATTTTCAGTCAAAAATGTATTTCTCCTTTCCTTTTGACCCTTCTGTTATATATTGGTTTTGAGATTTGGTCCTAATTATTTCTCTGTCACACCAAAGCATCTCAGTTATTCTTGCAGCCTTTGGTACAGGTCAGTCACCTTTGTATTTATTGACATTCATTTACCGGTAGTATCCATTCTCTCTCTTGACCTTGCCTGTTCTCATTTTGCTCCACTTTTAAACACTCCAGGGTAATTGTGTTCCATTTCCTTTATGATATTCAAAACTCTCTGTAAGGAACCACTTCAATCCACATCTTAAGAAAGCAGAACTCTTGGAAACTGTTTCTTCCAACAGGAACTTTTATTTAGAGAAATTGATAGCAGGCATGATAGACAGGATCTGAGGGATTCCCTCACAAATTAATGTTTTAAAGTGTCCCTAAGCACCCCCCACCCCGCAGTTCTTCCAGGCGATTCAGACCGGCATATTTCTAGGTGTTAAATCCAGGAAAGATAACATCAATCTGGCTCCGTTGTACACGATCATGCAACAGCTCATCACACCTTATTTTGATGACGGATAAATAACCCAGATTCCGGAGGCTGGATCTTTTCAGCCCCCCCCCCCCTTTCCTAGCTGCCCCGTAAGGAGGAAAGTTCAGAGGTGCATAGGATAAGAGGCAAATGGTTACATTGTAATGGTTAGCAGAGGCGAATAAACAAAAGGTTGCTTTGTAGTGAATAGAGGAAGTGAAAGTAATAAAAAAAACCTCCCCCTTGGGAATATGGCAGGACCCAGGAAAGGATTGATTTTAGATCGGAGGAGATAGAAAGGAAATATGACTAGATCCTGACACTCTCACTTCCATATAACACTTTTTTTAATAAATGTGTTTTCCTTATTAAAGACCACATTTTATCTACTACTTTCTACCTGCATTGCATGCCTTAATGTTTTTTCATCCATTTTTCCATTTTTAATAAACAGTCTACCCAGGTACAGAAATGCATCTACTTGCTCTAATAAGCACATTTATGTATAATCTGCATTCATTAATTCACTTTTCCCTGTCAAACATAGCTACCTTGGTCTTAGATGCATTGATTTTCAGATCTGTATTCCCTGTGACATCATACAGTCTATCTAACATCCATTGCAAATAATTTGATTCGTTAGCCAAAAACATGGCATCACCGGCATACAAAAGTATACCCACGTTTACATTTCCAACTAACATACTTCCTTATACATACATGAATAAGGAGGTGTATTGTTACATGTATACATGTATAAGGAGGCGTATTGTTATATTTAAGTACATTAACAGCCAAGGGGATATCACACATCCTTTTCTTACGCTCTACTTTCCCAAGAAACCGGGATAGGCAAATGTTGTTGTTTCCTAATATAAAAGGTATCATCACAGAATGTAAGTTGTTCCAAGTAAATCTACCTTTGTTATTGACTGTTGGTGATTTTTTCAATGCCCGGGGTGTTCAAGTGGTGCTCCAGATGTTTTGGGATTGCACCCAAGCCATCTGTTACTATTGGTACTATCTTTGCTTTCTTTTGCCACAGTTGTTCTACTTCTGTTTGCAGCTCTTTGTATTTTGTGATTTTCTTCCATTCTTTCTCTTCTCTTCTGTCTCCATGTATTGCCACGTCCACTATCTAAAAAATTTTTTTGTCCTACCGTTGAAGGCTTCACACTTTTCAACATTTTTCACAGCGTTATGACTTTCTTTTCATCACTTTTTTCTTGAGTGCTAAAATGGATGATACAGTATTTGCTCCAGTTCTTCCTTTGATGTATCACTGTCATTCCCATGCAGTTCTGTAAGACACTCCTTCAGCATTCTGTCACTTCAGCTTCACACAAAATTATTTCATCACTTTTATTTTTAATTCCACTCATTCTGCTGAAGAGACCTTGTTTAGCCCTCTTCACTCACTTCCTCAACTTCCTAAATCTTATTTCAAAATTGTGGTGCATTTTAATTAATTTAATTCAATTTACAGTAACTTTATGCTGCTCTTTGATTACATTATGTGAAGTTGCCATTTTTCTGTGCAGAATTTATTTCTTTCATCCTTATTTTGCAATAGTCCTTCTGTATGCATTTTTTCATCAGTAACTGCAGTATCTCTTTTATTTCATAGTTCAAATTCAAATTCAGAATAGAGCTGGAAGGGACCTAGGAAGTCTTCTAGTCCAACTCTCTGCTCAAGCAGGAGACTCTACTAGGAGATTCATGCATTGTGCTGACACACCCTTAGATTACAGCCAGGAACATGTATTACCTTTTTAATTATCAAAGAAGACAGTGAGTGTTATCCCGTGTGGTGTCTCTGCTGATAGAAAGCTCTTTGGTGGAACAAAGACATTCATTAGCACAATGAGAAGATACACAATTTTAGTTAATTTTCCTGCCCAAATCTATTGTTGAGGATTGGGGTTCCTTTCAGAACAGTTAGGAGAATATTGTTGAATGTTCATTGTATTCATTGTATTTGTTGAATGCCAGTTGCATTTTCCTTATCTATGGATAAACTCACATCATTCAGGTAGCCCTTGAAATATGACCATTTGTTTAACAGTGGGTCAAAGTTATGATAGCCTTGGAAAAAATGACATGGCCCATCCTCAAAGTTACAACTGTCTCACCATCCCCAGAGTCCCGTGGTTGCAATTCAGGCTCTTGGCAACTGGTTTGCATTTACAAGAACTGCAGCATCCTGCAGTCCTGTACACAGGATTTGCAACCTTCCCAGCCATCTTCCAAGGAGCAAAGTCAGTTGGGAAGCTGGATTCCCTTAACGACCGTGTGAATCGCTTAATGACCACAGTAAAAATGGTTGTACAATCAGGTCCAGTCATGTGATGACTCGCTTAATGACCATATTGCTTAGCAACTGAAATTCTGCTCCTAATTGTAAGTCAAGGACTACTTGGGCACATTGTCATGTATGGCGCACTGCATACTTCTAAAAGCTTTTGTAGGAAGTTTCCACTCCACAAATTCGTGTTTTGGATGAGATGCCAAAAGCTATGATTCTTTCCATTTGGCACCATAGATCAGCAGCAAAGAATTTCTGACCTACTTCCATTAATTAAATCCTTTATTTCTAATTGAAATGTAAAAATGATATCATACCTCTGTGGGTAAGGAGGGTGTGGGGATGGAGAGTATAGTGAGTGAAAGAATGTTCCCATGAAAAGCCATGAATGCCAAATAAAAAATCCCTTTATACTTTGAGCTTATTAACTGATATTATAAGCCATTTAAAGCTAAGGGTGCTCTGCCATCCTCCCCCACAACCCCTATTAGCACTCTTAAGAGCCTGTGTGGGTGATCATTATAATACAGTAGGCTGGAAAGCCATCCTTAGATTCGTGCATACTGGTATTATGAAGCAGGGGGTGGTTTGGCAAATTTCAGGGCATCCATGCAGAAATGTGGGGAAAGTGCTACAATCCTTCCAAAAGGAATAATTAGATTTCTAGAACACCTTCTCTTTCTGCTTTCCTGCAAAATCAAGTGTGGGGCAATAGGCATTGCCTTCATTCTGATAAGTTCATCCTCTCGTCGCGTCACCAGGAAGTCAGTTCAGAGCCAGGGGGATGCTTTCTGTATTTGCCATAGCTCCTGATTTTTTTGCCAATACAGTGTAAACCTCGGCTCCTCTATCACTTTTGTCTGAATTAATACTTTTTGTCTGTATGACCAGTCTTAAAAATAGGAATAATTACATACAGTATTAGTTGCAGCCCCTTAAGAAAGATTTGCTTTCCTGTTTTGTTTTTAACGTATGTAGTTCAGTACTGATATTTATTGTTATTCTGGTGTTTTAACTGTGTTCACTGCCCAGAGTTGCTTTAAAGAGATGGGCATCAATATAAATGAAATAAATAACAAACAAACAAGGAATGTATGTATTCAGAAGTAGGAAACTTTTAAGACCTCAGAGATATGGAAAATAATTACTTGATTGGTTATAGTGGGGTGGGCAGTGAGGGACAGTTAAGGGCGGAGATATAGAATTTAGGGATTGTGGTGCATAATTCTCAGTTCTGGCTATGCAATATTACAATATACTTGAATTCTAATAAAACTATACCTTTCTCAACAAATGGAGTGAAGGGTCATTTCTGTTTAGAGGGTTAGGTTGGGCCACACTGACAATAAAAAAAGAGTGAAGATGTTGACCATTTTATTTATTCAGTTAGTTTTAAAATATTTACTTCTTATTTTAACTTTTATGGCAGGGGCGTCTGCCATATGATTTATGTATGCGTAAATAATTTATATGGCCACTCATCTCACAACTGTGACTCTGGGTGACATACAAAGATTAAAATCTAGCAATTAAAACAATAATCCATGGCACTCAGAGTAAATGACATCTTCCAGTCACACACACATACACACAAACCCATCAACAACAGGGCTAGCCTAACCTCCTAACTTAATATCATGGGCACC